GTACAGTTGAAAAGGTTCCCTCGTGAGTCTAATGTCAATATTTTGCCGTATTTTTTTGATTTTTTTAGGGGTGTCTAAATGTATATTGATCAATATATTTGAGCGATATTCTAAATGTGTGCATATTTTTTTTACCTATTTTTGAATTATCTTTCCTCATTAAACACTGAGAAAAAACAAGTAAAAAAATGATTGTGTCATCAATTAAAAGGTGAAGAAGGCCATCTTCTAAATAGTTGAAAAATAAAAAGAAGTGTATCAGTATAAAATGTGTTTCATGCACTTTCACAGTGTTACATCAACATTTTTTATTTATTCATAAATCATTATTTATTGTCAAAGGTACGGTCAGAACATCTTACAGATAGTAAACAATGATTTATAAATTATAATTAATAAATAATTATTTATAGCTCTTTTGGGACACTCTATTGATAAATAGACAAATAAATACATGATAATTTTTATAGATATTGTGACAATTTTTTGATAGAAGAAGAGCTAGCACTGATGGAATTACGGTTTATTCTATTTATTTTTATTAAGAATAACATCGTTTTCATACAAAGCATAGGCTTATAAACTCAACCATCATAGAGAAGGAAAAAAAATATGAAAGAAAAGGATAATAAAGACAGAAACTAAGAGCAAATAAGATAAGAACAAAGTAAAACATGATGTACGAAGAAAGAAAAAAAAACAGATAAGGTCGACACATAAGATGAGAAGAATAGTAAGAAAATGTCAAATATCATGCATACAATGCATTTGACTGGGATCGTTACAAATATATTTTCTTTTCTATAAATATTTATTTCATAGTTTTTACAATGTATAATTGCTCCAGAACTGCAATAGAATTAATTGATTCAGAACCTATTATTATTGACGAACATGTGATCGATGAATTTATTGAAAAAGAAATTCAACATGGGTTTCCTGGTGCTGCTCTTATTATAACTCGATATGGTAACATATTAAAACAAACCGTCTATGGTTATAAATTAAAATATGATGAATCTGGAACAATTATAAAGCAACCACAACTATTAACATTGGATACTATGTTTGACTTGGCATCATTAACTAAAATGTATGCTACAAATTATGCACTTATGCAACTAGTTGAGCAAGGAGTATTAAATGTTGATGATCCAGTTAACAAATACATACCAGAATATTGTGGATGTAATCCTGAAAATGAATATCGTGAGACAAGATTAATAAAAGACTTGTTGACACATACAGCTGGATATGCTTCAAGTGTGGAGTTTTACAATTCAGAAAAAGTTTCACCAAATTTATTTTCACAGAATAAGCGTAAAACTGAAGAAATTATCAAAACAAAATTGAAATTTCAACGATCAAGAGGTGAAGATCAATTACCAGTTTATTCTGATATTGACTATATGCTATTAGGTCTACTTGTGGAGCATGTAAGTGGAATGTCAATAGACCAGTATGTAAAGATTAACATTTATCAGCCATTAAATCTAACACATACATTATTTAATCCTCTCAATAATACAAACTTTCAAAAATCAGATTTTGCTGCTACTGAATTAAATGGTAATACACGCAATGGCACAATCAACTTTCCTAATATACGTACACATGTATTACAAGGTGAAGTTCATGATGCAAAATCATTTTATTCAATGAATGGTGTATCAGGACATGCTGGTTTATTTTCAAATTTAAATGATATGGCCATTCTAACTCAACTGATGTTAAATAATGGATCTTATGGAGATATTAAATTTTGGAGTCAAAATGTCCAAGATATGTTTTTAACGCCGTACACACCTGATCCAACATTTGGTTTAGGATGGCGTTTAAATTGTAACAAATCTTTATTGTGGTTCGGTCTTCATGCATCCGATGAGGCATATGGTCATGCAGGATGGACAGGCACATGCACTGTTATTGATCCAAAGTACTCACTAACTATTACTTTACTAACGAATAAACGACATACACCATGTATCAATGGAATTTTTGACGGTGAAAAATATGAGACAGGACGATATGGTAAAATAATGACATTGGTCTATGAGTCAATGCTATTGCATGAATATTCATCTATGAAAATTTGAGTATCTACTATGAACTGTTAATTCGACCAAAGAAATTTATCATTTTCTTTTTCAATGGGTAATAATTTGAATAAGAACTCTATTGAGTTCACAGCAACTTTAAAATTATTTTGTTAAATATTTATTTAATAAGTTATTTTGAAAAAATGATCGATAAGACAAATGTATAATGAATAATAAACAGGTGTAATAGATAAAGAAATCAATCATCTATGGTTTTCTACAACCAGAAATCTAATAAATAACTCTCCCATATTATGTATTAGTGACTGTTTGATCTTTAATTTTAGTTAATTAGACTATAACCTATGAGTGTAGAGTATATTTGTGATAGTTTTCTTTTCAGCCGGATGCACTCATATCCACACTCTTCAAATTGTGATCGGTGTATCTTGCAACATTGCATCAAATAATTGCAACATCCATGATGTTTCTTTGAAACACAGTGAATCAGCATGCTTTGCACTTACACAATGTGTTACTCATAAGACTTTTTGAATCTTAAGTAGCCTCCTACATACTTTGTAAAACGCATTGAGTGTGTGGCAGAGATGTCCATCGCGGCTGAAAATCTGCCGCTGCCACGCCGCGGCCTTAGAAGAAAAAAAAGCTGCCGCGCCGCGACGGTTTATAAAAAAATGTTGCCGCGACGCTGCCGCACCGCGATGACTTATAAAAGAAACACTGCCGCGCCGCTGCCGCACCGCGATGACTTATAAAAGAAACACTGCCGCGCCGCTGCCGCGATGAATTATAAAATAAACGTGCGGCCACCGCGCCGCTGCCGCGACGGTTTTCAAAAAAGTATTTCTAATTTCACTGCTGTGACTATATTTGACCAGAGATATGGGTACTAGTCCATCAGATTTATTCAATATCAGGGCGTTTCATTTGCAAATCCTGAAATTCTATTAAATTCATACAGTTTTTCAATGTCCTCCAAAAAAAATCCTGCCGCTGCCGCGATGGTTTTTTAAAAAACCTGCCGGTACCGCGCCGCTGCCGCGATGACTTTTAAAAAAATCTGCCGCTACCCCGCCGCTGCCGCGGTGATTTTTTAAAAAACCTGCCGCTGCCGCTGCCGCGATGGCGGTGGCGGCGCGGCAGCGGCAGCGCCGCGATGGACATCTCTGGTGTGTGGCACAAAAAATGACGGTCTCAGCATTGGCACTATAAATTCTTCAATTTTTATTCTTTCAGACTAAGTGTTTTTTTGGCAAACGATCTACTGTTCAATTTTACATAATTTCAAAAAATGAAAATTTCCGTAGTACACTTTCAAAAAGCAAAGAGATCGTTTTTCGGACAAAGTGACACCTTCCGAATCAATCTTTGTCGTTCTCTAATTATTCTATTCAATATTCGACATCTTTTAGAATTCGAAATCGATCTATAACTTTAGCTAGATCACAAATGAATTGTATTATTTCTAACGGGATTTTAAATCTCTTCCATTTATATTGTGAGAAGTTTTCTTCTGAATCACTAAACGTCTACCTTTTGACTCCCAGTAAAGTAATAGAACTCACTGAGACCTTTCATTTCAACCGATCACATCAAGACTAAATAGTAAGCAGTCATGTCATTCGGTCGATATACTGGTTCACATCGGTGATTAACAATTTATTTGATAAATAGTCTAAATATTACTGTTCCTTCCAATTAAATTCATTGGATAGGGTGAGATCCTTCGTTTTGCATGGAGATAGTTGGATGAGTGAAGAGAAGCTCAATACACAAACATTCTGTCACATTCAAATAATAGACAGATAAAAAATAAACGCGAGTTTTCAACAGAAAAAAAAGTATTTCATTTTATTCAGAAGTTTATGCTAATTCAAGGTACGTATTTCTATTTGAAAAATTATTTTGAACAAAAAAAAAACGGCCTTATTGATATTCTTCGTTTGTTACGAAAAAATTCATCACATCTTTTGTTTTAATATATCTGAGGTTAATAAAAACTACTCGAAATGTTTTATGACCACAATACCTTTTATATATGTCTCTATCCTTTTGATACAACTTCGGTAATATTTCTACTGATACAAACTACTAATACATTTGAAGTATATATTACACAAAGAATTTCAATGAACTTTTTCAATCAAACATTGTGTAAATCAATTATCTTATCTAGAATAAAAATAAGTCAAAATATTTTGAACAAAATTTGAAGAAAATCTACGCATAGTTGAATCCTTCATTATAAACTCGATCATGTTGACAACAAAAATAATACTTGAAAATTGTTTTCCATTGTAGAAATTAAGATATACAAGTCAAAGATGGAAACGGGAAATTAATTTACTAGTGTTTCATACTTTTATACATGTTGATAAGGTAAAAATAATCAAGTGCAAAGTCATGGTATACACACAAGAGATTTGTAATACGTTTATAAGCAGAAGGGTTTGTTCAAAGATGACATTATCGGATGGAACAGAATCAATCTAAATAAACGAATTTTATGAATAATATGACAGAGATATACTCAAGTATTGAGAAGTATTTTCATCAGTATCATAGAATTAATTGACTTTAATATTGAATAATAAAAAAAAACATCGTTTGAATTGAAACCAAACATTGAGTTCTGGCGAGAACTTTCTCACAGTTTCCAGATAGATCAAAATCACATAATCAGAACGTTGAAATATAACTCAAGTCGGTGTAAAACATTTTCGAAAGTGTAGCATTTGACCAGTTTTGATCTATGAATTGTACAAACCAATTATTAGATTGACATTGGCAATTAATAAACTTTTTCTGATAACGAAATTGTGTTTGATCATAAAAAAAGAAGCTAACACTCTAGACAAAAAAAAGTGATCACAATATTTATGATTTGAACTATGAATCAACGCAAGTCCACAGTGTGACCATAAGGTCTAACAGTTCTCCTGTATGCTTCGGACCTTGCATTTATGCATTCATTGTTTCGCTTATATCAGTTGTTACATACTGAATATTGTGCAATAACACCTGTCATATACGATTCTTTTTTTCGATTTTGTGAGTGTAAGCGAACAAATAAAATATTTGTTCGCTAGATGGAGTACATATTCTGACATATGATATTTTTCTTGTTATTTTATCTATCTTTCTTTCAAATATATCCTACTCTAACATGGGAATAAATTAAGAAATAACTATCTTCCTTTTCTCTACATAAATAATCATGTTTTCGTAATAAAGATATTGTTAATCTTGAAACGAGAAAAGAAATCTCTTTGATCAATCGATAAAACTGTAACAGTGAGACACTTTATTGCATCTTTGTAATCAATAACGGTAAACGGACATATATGGCCCGGTAGATGTTTCTTCATCGATCGGTATACAAACTATTTCCTTTGTGTACAGTTTTCTCGGAAATTTAAAAGATTTTGAAACGAATGTCGAAGACTCTTTGTGTAGAGAAAGACCTCTTAGACCGTTGAGATCAATCAAAATTTATCATATTTGATCAATTTATTTTCATATCAAGTTCGAATATCAAAATAAGATTAAATAATCGCTTAGTCAGTGACGTCGACAGGAATTTTGGAGTTCTGGGCAATTCATCAGTCGAACTA